CATTTTACAGATGTTCAAATGGAGGATCACGGATGTCAAATGAACTATCCATGGTCTGCTGCTGGATGATGGCTGTGCTATGATTCAAACTAGTTATGTGGTTTCCCCTCCCCAGGCAACTTCCCAAACTCACAGCCTCTGCACCTAGGCTGTTTATTTCACGGTGTGACAAGAGTTTAGGAGCACAGTTTGGCCAGTAAGAGGTGGACACTGCACATTCGAGGCCTGCTGGGGAAGAGCTCCTGGGCTGGTTGAAGCAGGTAGGACTCCTGTGGGACCTAGACACCCGAGTAGTGTGGAAGGAAGGCAGAGAAGAGGCAACAGGAGAATTCCCACATAGTGGTGAGGCATTACACTCCAAATCTGGGTTCCTCCCCTGCCATCTGTAGATATTAGCTTAGTGACTTCAGAGTTATTTGAATAGTATTCTCTCAACAGTCAGGTTTAGCTGTGAATCTGTGGGCATCTGGTTTTTCAAACTTAGGACCCCAATCTGACCTGAGATTGTGAACTCAGATGGGGTCTGCTTCTTGCTTTTATGTCTGTCTTTCCTCATCAGCCCCATCTTCCCCCTGGTCTGGCTGTTTGGGCAGCTTTTTTATTTCCCTTGGAGTTCTGGTAAGAAGGTTCTTTTTTGTGACCAGAGCCTGATTTTGGTTGGCACCAGGGAAGGCAGGAGAGAGGCCAACAGGATCTTTACCAATGAGCAGTGGTCCAGCAGCTCTGGCCAGCTGTGGGGGGCAGGTGGTGTATCATACTGTGTTTCCTGGAAGCATCTGTGTAGAGAAAATAATTCTTTTTTTTAAAAACCTGGGTTGTACAGCATTATTTTTTAAAAGGTGTACAATGTGATGATTTAATTAATATATGCATACAGTGGGATTGAATTACCACAATTGAGTTAACTAACACATCCAGCACCCAGCACCTTACATAGTTACCATTGTGTGTGTGTGTGTGTGTGTGTGTGTTTGTGGTGAGAACACTTAAAATCTAATCTCTTAGCAACTTTCAAGTATAAATACAATGTTGTTTACTATAGTCATTATACACTGCATTAGATCTAGTCATCATACACTGCATCTTATAACTTGAAGTTTGTAACCTTTGCCCAACATCTCCCCATTTCTCCCACCCCCTCCCTAGCCCTTGGCAATCATCATTCTGTTTTCTGGTTCTATGAGTTTGGCTTTTTTATTTTTTTATTTTTAATTTTCTAAAATTTACATCCAAATTAGTTAGCATATAGTGCAACAATGATTTCAGGAATATATTTTTTAGTGCCCCTTACCCATTAGCCCATCCTCCCTCCCACAACCCCTCCAGCAACCCTCAGTT